CTCTATAAGGAGGTGTTCTGTTCACTGCCACGTCTCTAGCATCTACAACACATCCTAGCACATAGTAGGTGTTCAGTAAACAATCGATGAATGACTAAGTTCTAGGTCCCAGTCAAGGCAAGGGACATCTCTGACTGTCATCTTTGCATTCCAGCACAAAGCCTGGTACAGAGTAGAAGTTCAATAAAGTACCAAACAAATGAGTAACAATGACAACAGGTAACATTTATTGTCCATTCTAGATGCTTTGTATCAAATTGCTCTTCTGAACAACCACCCCAGAAAAAGAGATACTATGATTGTCTCCATCTGACAATTAAGGAAACTCAGTCACAGAGAGGTTAACTTACCCAGGATCACATAAGAAGTTGGTGGGGAAGTAAGATTTCAAAGCCAGGCAGTCTGGCTGCGGAAAACACACTGCTTAACTACTATCTCCTGCTGCTCCCTGGCTCAGATGTATTAAGATCTGAAAATACGCTTAAGATTTTAGGGCTTCAAAATCAAAACAAAAAGAGTTACACAGCAAGTGACTTTCAAACATTTTTGTCTGGTACCTACAATAAGAAATACATTTTTGGAGCCAGGCGCGTGGCTCACGCCTATAATCCCAGCACTTTGGGAGGCTGAGGTGGGAGGATCCCTTGAGCCCAGGAGTTCAAGACCAGCCTGGGCAACATACAAAAAATTAAAAAATTTAAAAATATATATATTTTCGAAGAACCACAAGAATACATGAATGTGCACATGTGTATGAAACAAGTTTCACAAAACAGACGAACTTGCACCATATATACTTGTACCATGTATAAATAATACCATGTGGATGTGCTCTGGTACTTTCTCTTCTATTTCATGTTTCAAAATGCTTGCTGCAACCCACAAACTGAAATTCATAATTACTAATGGGTCACAACCCATTGTAGGAAAACACTACCTTATTTCATTAACTGCTCATAATCACTGGGTGAAATGAGTCTTTTACTCTGAGGAAAGGCCCAAGGAGCTGAAGCCAGCACAGCCAGTAACATGCACACGTGGGCTGTGACCCCAGAGTCTATGTTTCTAATCACTGTGCGGTGCCACTTCCTGGGAAGAGTGAGCAAGCAGGGAGCAAGACGAAGAGGCCAGAAGATTAGAGCTTGGGGCAGGGGCAGAGGGTGATATGCCTCACCTGTTGTGTGATGTGCCACCGCCTTTGCCAACATGGTCTTCCCGCAGCCAGGTGGGCCGTACATGAGGACGCCTCGGGGGGGATCGATGCCGATCTGAAACCCAGAGGAGGGAAGAGTGTTGGTCAGGAGTCCCACCCCTAATGCCAGACCCAACTGGGCCTCTCCCTTCCCTGCCACCTGCACCGCCTCACCTGCTTGTAGAGCTCGAAATGCGTGAGCGGGAGCTCCACGGCCTCTCGCACCTCCTGCTTCTGGATGTCCATGCCTCCGATGTCTGCGTACATCACGTCTGGCTTCTGGTCTGGTGGAAGAGCAGAGCTGGGGCTTCCGGCCAGGTCCTCAAGGTCCCTATGGGACCCCCAGCTGCAGGCTCCCCCTTTACCTGAGGTGAGCATCATGATGCTGCTGTCGGCTTCAGGGGGCAGCACGTCCACCAGTGCATTGCTGTGCTTGTGGAGGGCCACTGAGGCGTTGGGCTTGAGTAGCTCCCGATCGATGGTGCTCAGGATGCGCACATAATAGTTGGAACCTACGAGAAAGGAGAAGAAAAACAAGAAGTGCCAGAGCCTGGAAACTGCCCCATCCCCCTTCCTTCCTCCTAATCTCACGGTTGCACCGCCCTATGCCGCCAGCATCTCTGGCTGAGACACTGAGGGGTCCCCTCTCTGCTTTCATCCTTCCTCCTGCTGTCTGTCCCCAACATTCATACAAACTCCTTGTCTACCACTCTGATTCTCTCGAGCTCCAGCCCTGGCTGTCCGGCAGGCCTCCCCCTGCAACATCTCATGCTTATGAGGCACACTTCTCTTTCCAAGCTCAATCTCTCTCCTGTCAGACCTGACTGACCAGCAGCCACCTGGACACCTCCCATCACGCTCTGGATTGCCCTCCCTGTCTTCCCACAAACCTACTCCTGTATCCATGGTGCCATCTCAGGGAAAGCCTCACTGTCCCAACTCCCACAGGTCAGAGATAGAGGCCTCATTCTGGATACCACCCTCATCTCACTTCCTCATAGCCCACCAGTCCAATTCCAGGCACAATCGCATGCCTTTCTCCACAATCTTTACAAGAACATTGCTTAGTCTAGAGGAGCAGAGCCCAGAAACAGAAAAAAAAAAAAAAAAAAAAAAACACCAGTTAAGATGCCAGTGACAATGACTATCATGAGGGCAAGGCCTGGACCTATATAAACAACAGCAGCTACAATATACTCTGATAAGGTCCTTATCAAAGCCCAGTCTTCTTTTTTTTTTTTTTTTTTTTTTTGAGACAGAGTATGTCACTCTGTTGCCCAGGCTGGAGTACAGTGTTTCGATCTCAGCTCACTGCAACCTCTACGTCCTGGGTTCAACAGATTCTCGTGCCTCAACCACCTGAGTAGCTGGGATTGCTGGCGTGCACCACCACACCCAGCTAATTTTTCTATTTTTAGTTGAGACAGGGTTTCGCCATGTTGCCCAGGCTGGTCTCAAACTTCTGGCCTCAAGCAATCTGCCCACCTCGGTCTCCCAAAGTGCTGGACTTATACATGTGAGGCACCGTGCCTGGCCTCAGAGCCCAATCTCTTAACACTCACTCATCGTTTCAAACTGCAGGCCCCAACCCAGTAGTAGCTGTAAAATCAATTAGGAAGGTCATGACCAGAACTGTGTTTAAAGCAAAACAGATTAGAATAGGATAGAAAACATCAGAGTATACCACATACAGGCTAAATATCTCATGGCAAAACTTACATTTTATACATCTATCTAAAGAGTAAGAGACAGAGACAGACATTCACAATGTAAAATATATTTCTGGCCGGGTGCAGTGGCTCACACCTGTAATCCCAGCATTTTGGGAGGCTGAGGTTGGTGGATCACCTAAGGTCAGGAGTTCAAGACCAGCCTGGCCAACATGGTGAAACCCTGACTCTACTAATAATACAAAAATTAACCGGGCTGCTTGGGAGGCTGAAGCAGGAAAATTGCTTGAACCCAGGAGGCAGAAGTTGCAGTGAGCTGTGAGATCATGCCACTGCACTCCAGCCTGGGCAACAAGAGTGAAACTCTGTCTTAAAAAAAAAAAAGTTTCACCATGTGGTATATGTATTTCTACCTTTGGATCAGTCAAAATACTCTGAAGAACACTGTACTTTCCTGCCTTGTTTGCTGCTACCTAGCACATGGTAGGAAATAGTGGTTAAGTGGCCAGGTGAATGAATGAGGTGTACTCGGCCACCCACACACCTGTGGTAGAACCCACAATGGCTGTATTCTGATCCACAGCCTCCAGAAATTGTCCGATGACAAGCGGGATGCTTTGGATTCGCTTCACCTCCTCCTGGGCATGGAGGAATTCCTTTTTCAGGTTCTTTTGCTCATCCTTGATGTATTCCTCCTGTACCTCTAGGAACTCCAGCTCTTGCTGCAGCTTCTGTGAGTAGAGAGGGGACACAGGGGATGGCTCCAGCCCTTGCTGATCCAGAGAGTGGTAGAAAGTGGGGAGAGTGAGATTCCAGGTCCTGTGCAAGGTCTGGGTTGGGGGTTGAAGGTACCTTGTAGCGGCTGTACAGGTCCTCCAGGTCCTCAGGCTCAGGGCCCAGGAAGGACAGACTAGTCTGGGGCCGGGACACGGACAGTGCTGGGATTTCATCCTAGACCAAAGGAGAAAACTCACGTTGGAAGAAGACGGTCCTCTCATGAAAGCATCTCAACTTCACTAATGTTTGTTCCCTTCCCCACTTCACCATGAAGTCACTTAGCCCCTAACAGACCCCTGACATAGTAAGACCCTCTATGTGGATCCTGGAAACCTCTTGGCCCCCTAAACAACCCCCTTATGTCAACTCGCCCCTCACACAGATCTTATGCTATCATACCACTCAAAATGTCTCCAGTATCACAGAACCCCCAACTAGGATCTAAATGTCACATCAACTCCTTATCAGACCCAAATGCCACCCAGTCCCCCTCAAGAGGTTCCTAATGTCACATGGCTCTCCCAGATAGGCTGTTAAAGTGACTGCGACTTCAAAGAGTCCTAACATTCCCTAGTTTTCCCTCAAAGATCCCTTATGTCACGGTCTCCCAACTCTCCTTAGACCTAAACAACACTCAGCCAAGCAACAGATAATACTTAGCAACCCCCACCATTACCCCCATCAGCAAAGCCCTGAACATCAGTCAGCCCCACAGCCTAGCCCCGGGGGTAACTCGGCCGCATGGCTGGGTCCCATACATCACTCACCGCCTGACCCAATCCCAAAGCCGGATCGCCGACGTCACTAAGCACTCCCGGTCAGGGTTCGAAATCAATCGTCTCAAAGACCTACTAACGTCACTCACTCCCCCAGCCCCGCTTTCTGAGCCTTACTTCCTATCATCACCCGGTCACCGAGACAGGCCTCCGAACGGCACAAAGCTCTCTCCACTGAGGCCTCTGAAATCACCCCAGCCCGGACTGGGATCCTCGAAGCCATTCATTCCTCCACTCAGGTCTGGCTTCACCCTCTCCGCGTGAGCCCGGCCTGGACTAAAAAGCCCAACTCCCCAATGTACCTGAGCCTTCTCCACCAAGATGCCTATCTCCTCCATAGTGACCAAGCCGGCCTCTGTGTGGCTTGGGATGCTCTGTCACCGCTTCCGCTGACGACAACGGAAGTTCCCGGCCGAGAAGGATTCTGGGAAGTGTAGTTTAAGTTACCTCTGAGAGGGGTTGGGCAAGACAGGATGAAAGGCTCGTCTGGGCTCCGCCCCCAACATACGCTCACGCGCCGTCAGTACCCGCGGGTGCAGGGGCGGGACCAGGACCAGAGCAGTTCGCGTGCGCAGTGTAGCGCGGCGGCGCCATTTTGCCCTGTAACTGAGGGAGGGGATTTCTGTCCCGGAGGTGGCGCGTCCCAGTTCCTCTTTCAGTGGCGTAAGTTCGCAGAGATCTGGCGCTACAGTCTGGCGGCCAGCTGCTCTTCGTTTTCATTTAGTATCTGGGCTGGAGGGGCCTTGAGCTGAGCTGCACAGACAGGATCGTACGGGCGGGTGGGATCTCCACGGGGGGCTGATCCCAAGATTGTGCGCCGCGCGGGCGTGGGAAGGTCCGAGCTGCCCCAGAAGGTGACCCTTCATACCGGGCTTTGCCCCGGGAGTGAGGAGCCCCAAGCCCGCAGTGGGCAACCAGTCAAACAGAACCCACGCGTCTGGGCTGGGGAAAATGAGGCAGAGTGCCCAAAAGTTGGGTTGCACGGGAGACCCATAGATCTTAATTCTGTACCCCAGGTTTCCGCCTTATAGATCTATGCCAGGTCCTGTGCTTAAGCTTTACAGGCATCATTGTAGCAGATAGCATGTTTCCTTATTTATAGAGAAGGAAACAAGCCCAGAGCCAGGAAGCCACTAGCCACAGTCACAACGGGCCGAAGGGACAAAGCACAGATTGGGACCCAGGTCTGACTGTCCCCAAAGTGCTGGGATTACAGGCGTGAGCTACCTCGCCTGACCTGGGCAACACTTAATTCTGTATCTCAGGTTTCTACTTTACACCCAAAAGGCAACCTGGATTTTTACTTGAGGCTTAGAAGTTATCACTTAAAATGGAATCCATCATCTTGTCCCTGGCCTCCTGTCCTCCCTGTTTCCAGGCTTCGAACTCAAACTCATCTGAGAGCTTTGCCTTTATTCCCCTAAGCCCAGTTAAATAATCACCAGGTTCTCTCTGGCCCCTTTGGTAATGACAAATCAGTGTATCCCTTTGCAATTTTTATGGATGATAATCATAAATAATCATTTCCTGAACACTGACTATTGTCAATGAAAACAAAAATCAGGCCAAGTGCTCATTCCTGCTCTTGTAATCTCAGAACTTTGGGAGCGTAGGCAGGAGGATTGCTTGAGCCCAGGAGTTCAAGACCACGTTGGGCAACACAGTGAGACCCCATCTCTAAAAAAAAAGAAACTTTAAAAATTAACGCAGCACAATCATGCACCCATAGTTCCAGCTACTCAGGAGGCTGAGGTGGGAGGATTGCTTGAGCCCAGCAGGTCAAGGCCGCTGCACTCCAGCCTGGGTGACAGAGTGAGACCCTGTCTCGAAAAAAAGAAAGAGAAAAAAACTTTTCGAGAATTAAGGTTAGTTTTATTCAGAAGTCTTACTGAGGATTGGAACCTGGGAGAGTCAGAGAATCTGTTGGACTGCTCCAGTGTTTCAGCCTGCAGTTTTTATACAGTTGGCTGCAGCTTATGTGCTCAGAAGTTACAAGAGCAAAATCTTGTCAAAGTTTGGGTGCGACACATAATCATTAATCCTGTTCAGTGTTTTCGTTTCTTTTCTTTTCTTTTTTGAGACATAGTTTTAATCTTTTCACCCAGGCTGGAGTTCAATGGCATGATCTTGACTCACTGCAACCTCTGCCTCCCGGGTTCAAGCAATTCTCCTGCCTCAGCCTCCCGAGTAGCTAGGATTACAGGCATGCACCACCACGCCTGGCTAATTTTGTATTTTTAGTAGAGACAGGGTTTCTCCATGTTGGTCAGACTGGTCTCGAACTCCCAACCTGATGATCCACCTGCCGCAGCCTCCCAAAGTGCTGGGATTACAGGCGTGAATCACCGCGCCCAGCCTTCAATGTTTTCTTATGTATAGGCAGAGGCAACGGATAGGATCAGTGAACTTTTCTTTTTTGAACTGTGAATTGTCTTACTTCCTGCATTCGAAGGTCCTACGTGAAAAACCAGGCTCAGAGTAGTAGTTAGTTACTTGCCCAAGTTCACCCAGCAAGTAAATGGTAGAGCTGACATAAAAATTCTTAGTTTGAGCTCTAAACACTTGATAGTTATTTGGATCTGCAGATGATCTTAGAAGGATAAGCCACTCATGCTTAAGGATAAGGGCATAGGAATCATTGAGGGAGTTTTTTCAAGCTAGACTTACCTTTACCTGTCTCTATAATTATGACCATTCCTCCCATCCCCCAGTTAAGAAATACCCTTTTTTTTTTTTTTTTTTTTTTGAGTTAGAGTCTCGCTCTTTCGCCTAGGCTAGAGGGCAGTGGTGTGATCTTGGCTCACTGCAACCTCTGCCGACTGGGTTTAAGCAGTTCTTCTGTGTCAGCCTCCTGAGCAGCTGGGATTATAGGCATGTACCACCATGCCTGGCTAATTTTTGTATTTTTAGTAGAGATGAGGTTTCACCATGTTGACCTGGCTAGTCTCGAATTCCTGACTTCAAGTAATTTGCCCACCTCGGTCTCCCAAAGTGCTAGGATTACAGGCGTGAACCTCCACACCTGGTCAAGAAATACTCGTCTAAGGCATTGAACAGAAGGGAAAACTAGAGCTGGGAATGGTTCTGTTGACTAAAATTCATCTCTTCTGGTTCAAACTCAGTGTTTTATTCCTCCCAACTACACTGCTTTCTAAAAGGAGTCCTTTGTCCGGGAGTGGTGGCATGTGCCTGTGGTCCCACCTACTCAGGAGGCTGAGGTGGGAGGATCACTTGAATCCAGGAGGTCAAGGTTGCAGTGAGCTATAATTGCACCACTGTATTCCAGTCTGGGTGACAGAGCAAGACCCTGTCTTTAAAAATAATAAAATAAAAGGTGTCCTGAACAGCTGTTGAAGTGAGGGTGTTCCCAGATCTGAGACTTTAGGACCTTGGATGAGACTGAGTGTATATAAGAGTCAGCAGACAAGTTGTATATGAGAACTTCCTTTTGATAGATAGGTGTAAAAAATAATAATTAAAAAAAAACAAGAATTAGCAGACAAGTTGCATATCAGAACTTCCTTTTGACAGATAGGTGTAAAAAAATTAAAGAAAAAACACGAGAGTTAGCAGACAAGTAAGGACAGCTGCTCTGGCTCAGAACAACCTTCATCTACAGGATGCAGCTGAAACTCAGCTCCAGCCACAATTAGCCATGCCAGAATGTGGGCTCACTGTAGCCAGATATATTTCAAAAGAAGTCAACATCCAGATTTTCAAGTAAAATCTTCTAATTTTTAAATATTCACTATAAATTCAAACATTTAAAATCACCATGTGGATACAACAAAACACATCTGTGGACTTCATGCAACTGGTAGGTGACTCCTGGTCTAGGCTTACTCTGTCCCCACTACAGCAGTCCCCACTTACTTGCGATTTGCATTCATCAGTTTCACTTACCCACAGACTGCCACAGTCTGAAAATATTAATAGAAAATTTCCAGAAATAAACAATTCATAGATTTTATGTGGCGCTCTGTTCTGAGTAGCGGGATGAAATCTCGCACCATCCCATTCCACCTTTTGTCCGGTGTGTTCCCACTATTCCCACAGTGTAGACCAAGATGCTACCTACCCCTTGGTCACTTAGTAGGTGTCTTGGTTGTCAGATAGATACACTATCGTGGTATGGCCGTGATTATTTTACTTAATAATGGCTCCAAAGTTTAAAAGTGGTGACGTTGGCAATTTGGATCTGTCCAAGAAAAGCCAAATACATGCCAAAGAGAAGTTGTTAGTCTCTTATGCCTAATTTATAAATTAAACTTTATCATAGGAACATATGTGTAGGAAAAAACTTGGTATATATAGCGTTTCTGTATTAGTTTGTTTTCATGCTGCTGATAAAGACATGCCCAAGACTCGGCAATTTACAAAAGAAAGAGGTTTAATGGACTTACAGTTTCCTGTGGCTGGGGAGGCCTCACAATCATGGCTGAAGGTGAAAATCATGTCTCACGTGGCAGCAGACAAGAGAAGGGAGCATGTACAGAGAAACTCTTCTTTTAAAACCATCAGCTCTTGTGAGACTTATTCACTATCACAAGAACAGCACAGGAAAGACCTGCCCCCGTGATTCAATTACCTCCCACCAGGTCTCTCCCACAACACGTGGGAATTCAAGAGGAGATTTGGGTGAGGACACAGCCAAACCAGATCAGTTTGTATTAGTTTGTTTTCACACTGCTATAAAGAAATGCCAGAGATTGAGTAATTTATAAAGGAAATAGATTTAGTTGACTCACAGTTCTGCATGGCTGGGAGGCCTAAGAAAACTTACAATCATGGCAGAAGGCCAAGGGAAGCAAGCATCTTCTTCACAAGGCAGCAGGAGAGAAAGCAGAGGAAACTGCCATTTGTGAAACCATCAGATCCCATGAGAATTCACTCACTATCATGAGAACAGTATGGGGGAAACCGCCCCCGTGATCCAATCACCTCCCACCAGGTCCCTCCCTTGACACTTGGGGATTAAAATTCAAGATGAGATTCGGGCAACCATATCAGGATTCAATACTATCCACAGTTTCTTTTCTTTCTTTCTTTTTTTTTTTAACTATCCACAGTTTCAAGCATCCACTGGGGGTATTGGAATGTGCCCCCTGTGGGTAAGGGGAGACTACCATATTGCTCTCAGAGGCTCTGGAATGAAGAACTTCACTCAATCCCAGGATGAAGGTATAGGGAGGTGTCTGAACCATTTAGAAGGCAGCAAGAATATAAGGTAAAAGATGGCAGGGAGTAAATGCAGGGAAAATCAAATGTAAATGTCTAACAATAGCTGATTGGCTAAATAAACTTTGAGACATCCATCTTTTATAGACTACAATACAGTTTTCTTTCTTTTTTTTTTTTTGAGACGGAGTTTCACTCTTGTTACCCAGGCTGGAGTGCAATGGCGCGATCTCGGCTCACCGCCTCCTGGGTCCAGGCAATTCTCCTGCCTCAGCCTCCCGAGTAGCTGGGATTACAGGCAAGCGCCACCATGCCCAGCTAAATTTTTTTTGTATTTTTAGTAGAGATGGGGTTTCAACATGTTGACCAGGATGGTCTTGATCTCTTGACCTCGTGATCCACCCGCCTCGGCCTCCCAAAGTGCTGGGATTACAAGCTTGAGCCACCGCACCCGGCCTGAATGTTTTCTTTTATGAATCATGCTGTTGGTGTTATATTTTAAAAACTTTTGCCTGGTGAAAACTCACAAAGTTTTTTAAAAAAATGTTTTCTTCAGTTTGATAGTTTGATTGGCTGGGTGTAGTGGCTCACCTGTGTAATCCCAGCACTTTGGGGGGGGCGTAAAAAAGAAGTTTGATAGTTTGATATTTCACATTTAGAGCTATGATCCATTTTGAGTTTGTTGTTGTTTTTGAGACAGAGTCTTGCTCTGTGGCCCAGGTTGGAGTGCAGTGGTGTGATCTCACTGAAACTTCCGCCTCCCAGATTCAAGCAATTCTCCTGTCTCTGCCTTTGGAGTAGCTGGGATTACAGGCGCCCGCTACCATGCTTGGCTAATTTTTATACTTTTAGTAGAGATGGGCTTTCATCATGTTAGCCAGGCTATTCTCAAACTCCTGACCTCTGGTGATCCACCTGCCTAGGCTTCCCAAAGTGCTGGGATTATAGGCATATAATCCCTTTTGCCACTGCACCTGGCAAAAGTTTCATCTTTTTGCATGTGAATACCCAGTCACTCCAGTACCGTTTATTGAAAATATTATCTTTTCCTACTGAAATGCCTTGCAACTTTGTAAAAAAGTAATTGACTATGCATGTGTACATCTATCTGTGGACTCTTCATTCTATTCTGTTCTAATTTTCTACCTGGACACCAATACCACATTGTCTTTATTAATATAGCTTTATAATAAGTCTTAAAAGTTAGGTAGTGGAAATTTTCCGACCTTCTCCTTTTCTTCCTCCTCCTCCTCCTCCTCCTTTTTTTTTTTTTTTTTTTTTTTGAGATGGAGTTTCACTCTTGTTGCCCAGGCTGCAGTGCAATAGTGAGATCTTGGCTCACTGCAACCTCCACCTCCCAGGTTCAAGGGATTCTCCAGCCTCAGCCTCCTGAGTAGCTGGGACTGCAGGTGCATATCACCATAACTGGCTAAGTTTTCAGTTTTTTTTTAAGATTAAGAGGGGTGCCCGTTATGTTGTCCAGTCTGGTCTTGAGCCCCTGGGCTCAAGTAGTCATCTTGCTTTGGCCTCCAAAAGTGCTGCATGAGCCACCACGCCCAGCCCATTTATGTTTTAGAGACAGGGTTTCGCTCTGTCACTCAGCCTGGAGTGCAGTGGCGTGATCACAACTCACTGCAGCCTTAACCTCCTGGGCGTGATCACAACTCACTGCAGCCTTAACCTCCTGCCTCAGCCTTCCAAGTAGCTGGGACTACAGGTGTGCACCACCATGCCTGGCTAATTTTATTTTTATTTTTCGATGTGAAAGTCTTGCTTTGTCACCAGGCTGGAGTGCATCTCAGCTCACTGCAACCTCTGCCTCCTGGATTAAGGCTATTCTTCTGCCTCAGCCTCCTGAGTAGCTGGGACTACAGGCACACACCACCATGCCCAGCTAATCTTTTGGTATTTTAGTAGAGATGGGGTTTCGCCATATTGGCCAGCATGGTCTCAAACTCCTGACCTCGTGATCTGCCCACCTTGGCCTCCCAAAGTGCCAGGATTACAGGTGTGAGCTACCTTGCCTGGCCGCCTGGCTAATATTTTTCATTTTTGTAGCAATGGAGTCTCACCGTGTTGCCGAGGCTGGTCTCTTAACTTCTCAGCTCAAGTGATCCTCCAACCTCAGCCTCCCAAAGTGCTGGGATTACAGGCATGAGCCACTGTGCCCAGACTTAACATTTACTTTTGCTCACAGGTCTACAGGTTGGCTGGGTTTCTGCTCTGGGCAGGACTGGGCTTGGCAGATGAGAGAGGGACTGATGAATGTGTGTGTAGCAAGCTCAGGAGTCCACTGGGGGTGGGGGTTCTGCTTGGCTCCATGGACCTCTCATCCTCCAGCAGGCTGGCCCTGGTGTGTGCTCATGGCTGAGGCAGGAGTCCAGGAGAGAAAGTGGACTCCATGAACAGCTTCACTTCTCCTGCATCCTGTTGACGAAAGCCAGTCACAAGGCCAGCCCAGATTCTAGGAGTGGGGAAACAGACTCCACTTCTTGGTGGCGGAAGGTACAGAGTCACATTTCCAAGGGCATGGATGTGAAGAGGTCATTTTTTTTTTTTTTTTTTTTTCTTTTGAGACAGTTTCACTCTTGTCACCAGGCTGGAGAGCAGTAGTGTCATCTCAACTCTGCAACCTTCGCCTCCCAGGTTCAAGCAATTCTCCTGCCTCAGCCTCCTAAGTAGCTGGTATTACAGGTGCCTGATGCCACACCTGGCTAATTATTTTTTTGTGTGTGTATTTTTAGTAGAGACGGGTTTCACCATGTTGGCTAGGCTGATCTCAAACTCCTGACCTCAGGTGATCCACCTGTCTTGCTCTCCCAGTGTTGCGATTACAGGTATGAGCCATCGCTCCTGGCCAGAGGCCTTTTTTTTTTTTTTTTAATCAGTCTTAACACTGGAGCACCTTTCTGCTTTGGAAGTAAAACCGTCCAGGCTGTTAGACACAGACACCCCTCTCTTGGCTTCCTTCAAATTACTGAAAACAAGCCTTGCCCCTTCCCCACCCAGACAACCAACCAAAGACTGACCAGCTCATGCTGTAGTCCCAGAACTTTCTAGGCCAAGGTGGGAGGATTGCTTGACCCTAGGAGGTCCAGGCTGCAGTGAGCTGTGATCGCTCCACTGTGCTGCAGCCTGAGTGACAGAGAGCCTGTCCTCCCAAAAAATAAAAATGAAAAAAAGCGCTTGTCTGATGTGCTGATGAAAAATAAAAGCAGATCCTTGGGGAATGGCCCTGCCCTTCACTCCAGGGCCATATCTGCTGTGCTTGCTATCTGGGCTCTAGTTCCGCCCAGGCACCATCAGCTCTTTCAACAAGCCAGGCTTTCCCCGCTGTGCCTCCAGCTAACTCCTCCTTTACCTGGGTAACTCCTTTGTCTTGCTATTTTTAATTTTAATTTTTTTTTTTTTTTGAGACAGTTTCGCTTTTGTTGCTCAGGCTGGAGTTCAGTGACTTGATCTTGGTTCACTGCAACCTCCGCCTCCCGAGTTCAAGTGATATTCCTGCCTCAGCCTCCTGAGTAGCTGGGATTACAGACATGTGCCACCACACCTGGCTAATTTTGTATTTTTAGTAGAGATGGGGTTTCTCCATGTTGGTTAGGCTGGTCTCGAACTCCTGACCTCAGGTGATCCGCTCACTTAAGCCTTCCAAAGTGCTGGGATTACAGGCGCAAGCCACGGTACCCGGCTTTTATCTCTTTTTAAATTCTACAAACATTTATTGAGCACCTACTGCATGCCAGGTCTTATTCTGGGAGCTGGGGATACAGTAGTAAACAAGACAGGCAAGGCCCTATCCTTGAGGAGCTCACAGCTTGACATTCCTTCTCAAAGTGGTTAAGCCCCCAGGATGCTGCAGCCTCATGGGTCGAGTCTGAATCCCAGCTCTGCCACTTAACTAGCTGTGGGCAAACGTTTAGCGCCTAAACTCTCAGCTGGGCACAGTGGCTCACCCATGTAATCCCAGCACTTTGAGAGGCAGAGGCAAGTGGATCACTTGAGGCCAGGAGTTGGAGACCAGCCTGTCCAACATAGTGAAACCCCGTTTCTATTGAAAATAACAAACATTAGCTGGGCGTAGTGGCCGGTGCCTGTAATCTCAGCTACTTGGGAGGATGAGGCAGGAGAATCTCTTGAACCCGAAGGCTGAGGTTGCAGTGAGCTGAGATGGGGCCACTGCACTGTAGCCTGGGCCACAGAGTGAGACTGTCTCAAAAGTACATTCTCCGTGGTGCTCGCCATCATTCTCCAGATGTCAGTTGTCCCCTTTTCCAGGAAGCCCTCTCTGATTGCCACAGAGTGACCACCTGTCCTGGAATCCCACAGCTTTTGGGCTTCCTCATCCCGGCCCTGAACACTCTGGGATGTAGCTCTTTGGTAATGGGTATGTGTCCCCCCACTGGACAGGGAGCCTGGTGAGGGCATGGACCAGGGCTTTCCTGATCCCTGCTCTGTCCCCAAATTCACCCAGCAGAGAAGTGTGCACGCAGCAGGCACTCAGTACACATATACTGAAGACCCGAGTATCACCGACAGCTGCGGGGAACTGGGGAAATCTGGGTGTTTCTCAGCCCAGCGTCGGCGGTTAAGGGGGCAGGAATTACTCGCCGAGGTCTAGAGGTCACGTGCCCTGCGACCCTTGGAACGCGGGCGCGGAGTGGAACTCGGTGTAACAGAGCCCCCTGTGGTCGTGCCCCGTCTCAGAACCCGGTGCGGAAGACTCTCTCCCCGCCCAAGGAGGGAAGGCGGGCGGGACTCCCCTCACCGGCGTGCCCGGGTCCCCCTCGGATCCATGAATAACCAGGCGCGGACCCCCGCCCCCTCCTCGGCCCGGACCTCAACGTCGGTCCGGGCTTCTACCCCGACCCGGACACCGACTCCAGTCCGGACTCGGACCCCCATCCGGACCCTGACCCCGTCTCTGGCCGGGACTCCCGCTGTGGTCCCGACTCCAGCTCCGGCCCGGATCTCCCGTCCGGTCCCAACTCCAGTTCCGACTCCTGCTCCCGCCCGGACCCCAACTCCGATCCCGGCTCTGGTTCGGACCCTGACTCCAGTCCGGCTCCCAGCCCCCGCCCGGATCCCAGCGCCAGCGCCGGTCCCGGCCCCGGCCCCGGCCCCAGCCCCAGCCCCCGCCCCAGCCCCAGCTCTAGTACTGGCCGGGATTCGGGCCATGCTCCCCTTCTTGGACTCCTACCCGGCCTCGGCCCTGCCTTGGGATCCGCTCCCGGAACCTGCTCCGGAGCCGCCTGTGTCTGTGTCATCCGAGGAGGACCCTGAGCCGGCGCCGAGCCTGAAGCTCGTCCCGTCGGTCTCCGGCGAGACTGGGCCCGCCCCGGGGCCCCTTCCCGCGCGCACCCCACTGGCCACGAACCCACCCGGGCCCACGCTAGACTTCAGGGCAGACCCGTCGGCCACTGGGCTGGCGGATCACACCATTCCCGGCTCTGTCCCTGCGCCCATCCCGGGGACCATCCCGTCGGCCGCCTCCTTACCGAATTCTGCCGAAAGCTTCGTCTCCGCCAGCGAGAACTTCGCGCTGGACAAGAGGGTCCCTATTCGAGTGACTTACTGGTGAGGACCTCACACCCGCCTCTCCCAACCCCTGGGGACAGGGCCAGCGGTGGGGGCTGGGACTCCTGGACGTGGAGGTCATGGTTGGGATAGGGCGAGGGGAGGGATTCGGGTAGAGCCCCAGAGTCCCAGTTACCAGACTGGGAACTCACTCTTGTCTCTCATTCTCTTTGGGGCCGGAGAGCGTCAGGTTCAAATCCGTGCTTTGGATCTGAGCTTCATTCATTCATTCGTTTCTGAGTGCCCTGCGGGCCAACTGCCAGGCTTGTGCTGGGGATGAGATGCTCAGCAAAGCGACCTGCTTTGCTCCCCAGTAAGACAAACCCAAAGACAGTGCTCATGATGGGGGCTCTGGCTTCCCTTGCCAGCCTCTCTCCTACCTTGGAAGCCTCTCTGGTCCCTTGTCTCTCTCTCTCTCAATTTGTCTTCTTCTGTCGCTTCCCAGGCAGTCTCTACCATTCTCTGTCTCCCCACCTCACTCTGTCTCTCTCTGTCTGTTTTGTTTTTGTTTCAGACAGGATCTTGCTTTATTGCCCAGGCTGGAGTGCAAGGACGGGGATCATGATGGGAGCCCCCATCATGAGCACTGTCTTTGGGTTTGTCTTACTGGCCAGGCTCGGTTGCTCACGCCTGTAATCCCAGCACTTTGGGAGGCTGAGGCGGGCAGATCACCTGAGGTTGGGAGTTCAAGACCAGCCTGACCAACATGGAGAAACCCTGTCTTTACTAAAAATACAAAATTAGCTGAGTATGGTGGCGCATACCTGTAATCCCAGGTCCTCAGGAGGTTGAGGCAGGAAAATCACTTGAAACCGGGAGGCGGAAGTGCAGTGAGCCAAGACCATGCCATTGCATTCCAGCCTGGGCAAAAAGGGTGAAACTGTCTCAAAAAAACAAAAAGAAAAGGGAAAAAAAGTGATCTTGTATGTGAGGAGGTGATCAGTACTGTGAACAAAAGGCATTTTGGGGGTTGCAGTTTTAGCTGGGGTGATCAGGAAGGCCTCACTGAGAAGGGGATATATGAGCAAAGCCCCCCAGAAGGAAAGAGAGGAGTCGTGTGGATACTGCAGGGAGAGCATTCAGCTGAGGGAACCGCCCGTGCAAAGGCCCTAAGACAGGGCATACCTGGGGTGTTGACAGATGAACTGGGGCTAGGACTGTAATCCCAGCACTTTGGGAGGCTGAGATGGTTGGATCACTTGATGCCAAGAGAGTTCAAGACTAGCCTGGCTAACATGGAGAAAACCTGTCTCTACTAAAAATACAAAAAAATTAGCTGAGTGTGGTGGTGGGCACCTGTAATCCCAACTACTTGGGAGGCTGAGGCAGGAGAATCACTTGAACCTGGGAGTCGGAGGTTGCAGTGAGCCAAGATCGCGCCACTGCACTCCAGTCCAGGCGATGGAGTAATACTCCATCTCAAAAAAAAATCAAAAATTAGCCCAGTGTGGTGGCCTGCACTGGTAATCCCAGCTACTGGGGAGGCTGAGGTGGGAGAATTGCTGGAAACCAGGAAGTGGAAGGTTGCCGTGAGCTGAGATCTCACCACAGCACTCCAGCCTGGGTGACAGTGAGACTCTGTCTCAGAAAAAAAAAAAGAGAGAAAGTTGAGCTAGCGGTTTCTGGCTGGCACAGGGTGAATGAGTTGGGGGAGAGTAGGAGGAGAGGGGACAGAGGGGTGAGAAGGCAGATCCTGTGGTGGCCTGGAGGCCACAGGAAAGACTGGTTTTTCCCCTGTGTGAGATGGCACTACTTCAGGGTTATGAACAGGAGAGGAACATGGTCTAACTCAAGTGTTCATAGGGTGCCCTGAGCTGGGGATGATACTGACGAAATGTCTTCCCTGGTCTCTCTCTGCCTTTCTGCTCCTGCTCCTGGCCTCCAGTGGCCTCTGAAGCTATAGCCTTCGGGTGAGTAGTTTTGGCTTTGGAGGTAGGGGAGCTTGAGGCATGAAGACTGGGAGGAGTCCCTGATTCTCCTCCCCTGCGACCCCATGACCCCATCTGTGCCCCTCAGTACATTCTACTGAAAAAGAGCCTGGAGCAGCGATTTCCAGATCGCCTACTCTTTGTAAGTGTGTGGGGGTCCTGGGGAAGACAGGGGTGGTCAGCGATCCGAGTCTTGGCCTCCCCCTACCCCTACCATTTCCTCCCAGGAGGAAGACAGAGCTGCCCAGGCTACAGGGGATTTTGAAGTGTTTGTAGATGGGAGACTGGTCCATTCCAAAAAGGTGATTCTGGGTGAGGGGCCGGGACAGGGAGGCGGGGTGGTACTGAGGTCCTGGGGGTGAAAGACCTGTGTGCTTTCTCCTCTTTTTGCCCAGAGGGGTGACGGCTTTGTGGATGAGGCCAAGCTGCAGAAAATTGTGAGCGTTATTGATGAGGTGATCAAGAAGAGGTAGCCGGCAAGGGGTGGAGCTGGAGGTAAGCTGTGGAGCTCTCAAGGCTGCAGTGGGAGGGGAGGGGGCCAGGTGGGAGGATGGGGCAGGGCACTGTTCTGTTCCCAGCTCAGCCAGTCCTCACTGTTAGAATCATAACAAGTCGCCTACACACTTTTCTGAGCCTCAGTTTTCTCATCTGTAAGATGGGCTTGCTGTGATGATTCTATGAGACAACTCATACCAGGTAATAAATAATACACGGCTCAGAGCAGGGCTCAAGATATTCCAATGGCGGCCGGGCGCGGTGGCTCAAGCCTGTAATCCCAGCACTTTGGGAGGCCGAGGCGGGTGGATCACAAGGTCAAGAGATCGAGACCATCCTGGTCAACATGGTGAAACCCCATCTCTACTAAAAATACAAAAAATTAGCTGGGCATGGTGGCAAGTGCCTGTAATCCCAGCTACTCGGGAGGCTGAGGCAGGAGAATTGCCTGAGCCCAGGAGGCGGAGGTTGCGGTGAGCCGAGATCGCGCCATTGCACTCCAGCCTGGGTAACAAGAGCGAAACTCCGTCTCAAAAAAAAAAAAAAAAAAAAAAAAAAAAAAGATATTCCAATGGCACATTTACGTTTTGTTTTTTTTTTAAGAGTCAGGGTCTCACTGTGTTGCCCAGGCTGGAGTACAATGGCTCCATCATAGCTCACTGCAGCCTCAACCTCCTGGGCTCAAGAGATTCTCCTGCCTTAGCCTCTTGAGTAGCTGGGACTATAGGTACATGCCAACATGCCTGGTTAAGTTTTAATTTTTTTTTTTTAGAAACAGGGTCTTGCTATGTTGCCCAGGCTGGAGTGCAATGGCTCAATCATAGCTCATTGCAACCTTGAACTCCTGGGTTCAAGTGATCCTTCCCCCTCTGCCCCCCAAAGTGTTGGGATTGCAGGTGTAAGCCAGTTCCAGCCCATTTTTGTTGTAAAGAGCTTTTTTTCTTTTTTGAGACTGAGTCTCACTCTATCACCCAGGCTGGAGTGCAGTGATGTGATTTTGGCTCACTGCAACCTCTGCCTCTCAGGTTCCAGCGATTCTCCTGCCTCAGCCTCCCGAGTAGCTGGGACTGCAGGCGCCCACCACCATGCCCAGCGAATTTTTGTATTTTTAGTAGAGGCAGAGTTTGACTGGGTTGGCCAGGCTGGCCTTGAACTGCTGACCTCAAGTTATCTGCCCACCCGGCCAAAGTGCTGGGATTATAGGTGTGAACCACCTAGCCCTGCTCTTTATCTTTTTTAACCTTTTAGTTGTAAAGCTGTGCTATCCAATAATAGCATGTACCTTGTAAATTTGAAGCTTAATTAATTAAAATTAAGTACATTAAAAATCCAATTCCTGCCTGGGCACAGTGGCTCACGCCTGTAATCCCAGCACTTTGGGAGGCTGAGGTGGGAAAATCATGACGTCAGGAATTTGAGACCAGCCTGACCAACATGGTAAAACCCCGTCTTTACTGAAAATACAAAAATTAGCTGGGCGTGTGCCCAGCTGGTGGCGCGTGCCTGTAATCCCAGCTACTCAGGAGGCTGAGGCAGGAGAATTGCTTGAACCCAGGAGGTGAGGTTGCAGTGAGCCGAGATCGCCCCACTGCACTCCAGCCTGTGCAACAGAGCAAGACTCTGTCTCAAAAAAAGAAAAAAAAAATCCAATTTCTTACTTGCTTTAGCTACACTTTGAGTGCTCAGTGGCTACCATGTTGGATTGGTTTATACTGTATTTGGTGGCAGGTGCCAAACACAGGGCACAAGAGGACAAAAAGTTCTGTTGGTGCACATTGTGCTCAGGTATTAAAGTATATGCACAATAATTTATTTACCCCTGGTACTGGACTTTTTTTTTTTTTTTTTTTTTTTTGATACAGAGTCTGTCACCCAGGCTGGAGTGCAGTGGCACAATCTCAGCTCACTGCAACCTCTGCCTCCCAGATTCGACCGATTCTCCTCACTCAGCCTTCCAACTAGCTGGGATTACAGGCACACGCCATCACACCCGGCTAACTTTTGTATTTTTAGTAGAGATGGGGTTTCAACATCTTGGCCAGGCTGGTCTTAACTCCTGACCTCTTGATCCACCCACCTCGGCCTCCCAAGTGCTGGGATTACAGGTGTGAGTTTTTGCGCCCAGCCGGCAGGCTTGCTTTCTAGCAGCCAAGCTGGAGTGAAGGGAAGAGGGAGACAGGGGTGAGGTCTGTTTCTCACACTTGCTGATATGCAGAATATGGTAGTGGTTATGCATATAGTTTCCAGGGCCACAGAGACTGAGGTTCAAATCCTGGATGCACCAGCCACACAGCCTAAGCAGGGTGAAGATGATGTGAGGTAAGAGCTTTCCAAAGACCTTTTTCAGTAAGTAACAGCTGTTGTTACTAGAATCAGGACAGTTCTGATTGTAAAAGAAAATCCTGCTCAAACCGGCTTTAGACATAAAAATATGGACACATGGGAAAGTCCAGGGCATAATTTGGTTGGTTACAGGCATGGCTGGATCCAGGCACCAAAAGGGTGCCTTTGGGAATCTCACTCTTCCTTTGGTTTCTGCTTTTTTCCTGGGCTGGCTTTATTCTCAGTACTGGTAGCATAAATCCTGCAGAAGGTTCTCATTGGCCTAGGTTAGGGCACATGTCCATCCCAGAGCCAGTCACCGGGGCCCAAAGATTGTGGTGCTCTCATTGGCCAGTCTTGAGTCATGTGCCCATTCTTGTGGCTTACTCAACACATATTTGCTGAGTACCTACAATGTGCTGATACTGTTCTAGGTCTTGGGGCTACAGCAGTGAACAAAACAAATACAAACCCCCGCCCCAGTGAAACGGATGTTCTATTCTGGGAGACAATGAACAGGATAGTTAGGTGAATAGAAGGCATTTGGTCTGATGTGGTGGCTCACGCTTGTAATCTCAGCACTTTAGAGTCTGAGACCAGCTAAAAATACAAAAATTAGCTGGGCATGGTGGCGGGCACCTGTAATCCCAACTACTCCAGAGGCTGAAGCAGGAGAATCGCTTGAACCCAGGAGGTGGAGGTTGTGGTGAGCCAAGATCATGCCACTGCACTCCAGCCTGGGTGACAGAGCTAGACGCCGCCTCAAAAAAAAAAAAAAAAAAAAAAGAAGGCATTTTAGGAGGTGATACCTGCTAAGGAGAAAAATCAATAGGGGTGGGGAGTCCTGAGAGGTTTTTTTTTGCAACTCTTAAACTGAGTGTGCAGAGAAGACCTCATTGGCAAGGTGGTATTTGAATACCTGAAATAAGTGAGGGATTGAACCATGTGGATATTCTAGGGAAAAGTATTCCCGACGGTGGGAATAGCAAGTGCGAAGACCCTGGGGTAGGACTGTGTTCATTGAGTCTGAAAAATAGCAAGGAGGCAGGGCACAGTGGCTCACACCTGCAATCCTAGCACTTAGGGTGGCTGAAATGGCAGATTGCTTGAGTCCAGGAGTTTGAGACCAGCCAGGCCAACATATCAAGACTCTGTGTCTACAAAATAATAATAATAAAAAAATGAGCCAGACACAGTGGCTCATGCCTGTAATCCCAGCACTTTGAAAGCCTGAGTTAGGTGGATCACTTGAGCCCAGGAGTTATAGGCTGCCATGAGCTCTGACTGGGCCACTGCACTCCAGCTTGGGTGACAGAGCAAGACCCTGTCTCTAAAAGATTTTAAAAAATGAGGAAGCTAGAGTGGGCACTGTAGTCCATAGAAAACAGTAGAACAGTGCCTGAGGCATGGTAAACCCTATATAAACACTTATTTTTATGGAGCTGTCATTGTTATTGTTATTTTACATTTTTTCCTCTCTTCTCTCCCATCTCAGGAACCTCAGCAGGATGATGAGAAGGACTGAAATGTTGCTAAGTCAGGTCCTTTTCTGATGGTGGCTGGGGCTGGGGTGAGCTCAGGGAAGGGGAAGAGGAGAATACATACAGAGTCTGCCCCCCTGTGTCCGGTCTGTGTCTGCCGTCGCCACATCTGTGGAAGTCACCTGCTGCACTGCTCCCAGTATCTCCGATATTCTGGCCCCAGGGGCGGGAGGGACGGGGAACTTGCAATATGAGGCTAGTCCTGTGGCTCCAGTCCTCCGTCTGCCTCAGCTCCTCTGGCTGCTAGGCTAGTTTGTTTCTTTTGTGGCTTTGTCATTTCCCATGCCCTGGTTCCAGATACATTTTGAAAACTTTCCATCTTATTGGCATTTTCCGGGGTTGTAAGGGAAACGGGGATGGTGGTTAGTCTCAAACCCTTAACACTCCAAACTCATTTGTGCTCCAGGACCCACTTTCTAAACCTGTAAGATCTATGTTCCAGCCTGGGCAACCTAGTGAGACCCCAACTCTACAACAAATAAAAAATTAGCCAGGTGTGGTGGTGTGTGCCTGTGGTCCTAGCTACTTGGGAGGCTGAGGCAGGAGGATGGCTTGAGCCCGGGAGGCTGCAGTGAGCCATGATCATGCCACTGCACTGCAGCCTGGGCAACAGAATGAGACCCTGTTTCAGAAAAAAGAAAAAATTTAACCCATAGGTTTTAGAATCCCAGTGTGGGAGTGTCTCTCTGATCTGGGGCTGGGGGAGAGACATTCACATTGGGTGGACATTTATGGGCGCTCTACTCTGCACCTGGCATGGTGGGGTCAGTGGTCATATGCCAGGAGGTCAAGGGCACAAGAAGGGGACTCAGACTTTACCACTTAATTGCTGTGTGACCACAAACAAGGGATGCCACCTCTATGAGCTTCAATTTCCTCCTCCATAAAATTGACATCATAGCACTATTCAACTCATGGAATTTTTGTAATAATTATGCCTGGGAAGGGATTAGCAGAAGGCTTATCACAGAATTAGTAGGTTTCAGTTAGTAGTAGATTTTAGTTAGAAAACACAAATTCTTTTTTTTTTTAGATGGAGTCTGGCTCTGTCACCCAGGTTGGTGTGCAATAGTGCAATCTTGGCTCACTGCAACCTCCGCTTCCCAGGTTCAAGCGATTCGCCTGCCTTAGCCTCCTGAGTACCTGAGATTATAGGCACGTGCCACTATACCCAGCTTATTTTTGTATTTTTAAAAGAGATGAGGTTTCACCTTGTTGGACAGGCTGGTCTCAATGCCTGACTTCAAGTGATCCGCTAACCTAAGCCTTTTAAAGTGCTGGGATTACAGGTGTGAGCCAACTCACAAGATAATATGCTGGCCCTGTACAGTGATATGCTGGTAAGAGTCTGTGAGCAGGGTGCCTGATAAGATCGAGTGCTGGAGGGTAAGGGTAAGTCCCAGAACATATATGGAGTTTGTCTCAGTGAAATCTGTGTCAAGTGATATAAAATATGAGAGGATATTTCCTATGTGACATATACTTTCCACCCCCTACAGTTAAGAAAAACACTTAGCAGAGATTTTTTTTTTTTTTTTTTTTGCGACATTCTGGCTCTGTTGCCCAGGCTGGAGTGCAGTGGCACAATCTCAGCTCACTGCAATCTCTGCCTCCTGGGTTCAAGTGATTCTCCTGCCTCAGCCTCCTGAGTAGCTGGGATTACAGGTTCGAGCCACTATGCCTGATTTTTTGTATCTTTAGTAGAGACGGGGTTTTACCGTGTCAGGCCAGGCTGGTCTCGAATTCCTGACCTTGTGATCTGCCTGCCTCGGCCTCCCAAAGTGCTGGGATTATAGGCATGAGCCACCGTGCCCGGCCTAAAATATTTAAAAAATATTTTTAACAACAACAAAAAATATTTTTTTTCTATTTATTCTTTTTTCTTGTTTTTCCGGTAGCTCATCAGAATCAGGTGGAATAACAAAAAATATTTTTAATGCAAAATTGAGGTGGTGGGAAGGTAAGGGAACTCCTGGAGTCCAGAAATCTTATGGAAATAAAAATCCAGAGGTGGCTCGTGTTGGAGATGGGGCTTGTGAGGAAATCTGCTAATTTGATGGGGAGAACCTGCGTGACTCAAAATGTGAAGGGAAAAGACAGAACCCAAACCCTGGGGATAAGATGCCCAAGTGGAGACCATGTGGCTGCCGGAACCCCAGGAGGCAGTACCCTCTGGTGGGTAGGTTGGGAAAAAAATGCCCCTCCCACAGAGGTAGGTGGTAGGTAGGGGTAATTAGTCTCCACCTTTTTCGTGAGCAAATGATTCAAAGAAAGCCCTCTGTTAATAAGCCTGCACTTGCACAAATGTGGGACCTAAATTTCTGCCATCTGTCAAGTCTGAAATTTCATCTAATGTCTGGTTAGGAATGTTCCCAAGTACATGGCAAGATTAAATAGAAGTCAGCTAAGAAGATGCTGAACCAATTCTCAAGCAGTTCCCAAAGATAAAGTTCTGAGCAACATGAATTAGCTATTAAAAGGAGCTGGGCATGGTGGCTCACACCTGTAATCCCAGCACCTAGGGAGGTGGAGGTGGGAGGATAGCTTGAGGCCAGCAGTTCAAGACTGGCCTGGGCAACATAGGGAGACCCTGTCTCTACAATACAAAAATTAGCCCAGCGTGGTGGCATGCGCCTGCAGTCCCAGCTACTCAGAAAACTGAGGCTGGAGGATTGCTTGAGCCCAGGAGGTCGAGGCTGCAGTGAGCCGTGGTTGTGCCACTCCACTCCAGCCTGGGAGACAGACTGAGCCCTTGTTTCAAAGAAAGAAAAAAAATTGTTAACAACAAAGTCATTAAGGTAAAAAACAATATTAGATATTGTCGGATAGTAGAGAATTTGGTTGGCCTTTGTGTCTAGTTGCTGGGAGGGACTTATTAAATCCTTGGCATTTCCCAAGTGACAGGGCTGTCACTGTTAACATGGTGGGCCCCTTGGGCCATACTTGATAGTTTAGACTCAAAAGGTGACTAACGGTGCACTTCTCGTTTATGGTAATGAGTCCAGAATGATGGCTGTCAGTGCCAGAAGAGTCACTATAAGATTATGAGAAAACTGGACTTTGAGCTGTGGTATCAACTTGACTGTCTGGGAGGGGAAGGAAGCTAGAGATTGAGGTCAGTTCCATGACCAATGATCCAGTCAATCACACCTGCATAATACAACCCCAGTAGGCTGGGCACGGTGGCTTATGCCTGTAATCCCAGTACTGTGGGAGGTTGAGGCGGGCGGATTACCTGAGGTCAGGAGTTTGAGACCAGCCTGGCCAGTAAAGCCCCGTCTCTATTAAAAATAAAAAAATTGCCGGGCGCGGTGGCTCAAGCCTGTAATCCCAGCACTTTGGGAGGCTGAGGCGGGTGGATCACGAGGTCAAGAGATTGAGACCATCCTGGTCAAAATGGTGAAACCCCGTCTCTACTAAAGATACAAAAAATTAGCTGGGCATGGTGGCATGTGCCTGTAATCCCAGCTACTCAGGAGGCTGAGGCAGGAGAATTGCCTGAACCCAGGAGGCGGAGGTTGCGGTGAGCCGAGATCGCGCCATTGCACTCCAGCCTGGGTAACAAGAGCGAAACTCCGTCTCAAAAAAATAAAAAATAAAAAAATAAAAATAAAAAATAAAAAAATTACCCGGGTGTGATGGTGCATATCCGTAATCCCAGCCACTTGGGAGGCTTGAGTCAGGAGAATCACTTGACCCGGGGAGGTGGAGGCTGCAGTGAGCCGAGATCTCACCACTGCATTCCAGCCTGGGCAACAGAGGGGGACTCTGTCTCAAAAGAAAAAAAAAAAAGAAGAAGAAAAATACCCCTTATACATAAATCTCTCCATATATAACTGAAAAAACTAAGATGCTGATAGAGGTATATACTACTTTGATTTTATATTTTTTAAAATTTACACCTTGTGATGCAAGTTAACTACGATGATTTTAAAAGGGAGAATGCACAATATTTAGATTGATGTTTATTTGCATATGCATTAGAAAACTGTTGAAAGACATACAGCAAACAAGCAAAACCAAGAAAACAACAAAATCCCAAGCCAC